AATTTATATTTAGTACAAAGCAGCAATTAATTAACAACTAACAGTAATTAATTGGCAACCAGCACCAATAAATTAAAAACTAACACTGACTTAGTACAGTAGTTTTACTAAAGCTTTTTTGAACAAAAAATTGAAATTAAAACAAAATGTATTTTTCGTACATTTTGTGACAAAGCACAAACAGCACAAAATTTGAAAATTGTTACAGTATAACATCGATTAACTCAAACTGTAGAAAATAAATAAAAAGTTTTTCAATTAAAGTTTACGAAATTTACAAAAACGCAAAATCAACCTCGAAACACTTTTTATAGAAGGAAATTAAAACAAATTAATAAAAAAAATTGTTGACTTATTTTCTTTTCAAATTAGACTAAAAAAAGAAAAATAACCAAACCAGACTTGAAAAAAAAAACTGCATTAATTTGGTGAGATTATTAGTGTTCCGATGTGTGTATTTTAACATCGATTTTCGGTTTCGCTGATCGTGTCCCATCACTGGTCCATGAAGTTTGTTACATTATGTCATTCTAATCAAGGTAAATTTTATGGAGTATAGACACTGCGCGTAATTGCCACGCTCCGAATAAATGAAGTTGCAATTTTGTTTGCCAAGCTGTTAAAATTTCAAATAATCGATAGGGTAATTTTAGAAACCAACATAAACAACTATTTTTGTTGCACGACTTTTAATAAAACATTATACATTTACCAAAAACAAACTTTTTTGTTCTACTATCTGACACGCTTTTAGATATATAAGTAAGTAAGGTTGCGAGTTCAAATGTGCAAGCGTCCTCCCTGATGACCCCCACCACCGCTCCTGCATTTTGCATCGTTCCGCACAGAGTTACCACTGTTTAGAATGATCTATTTCAATATTTTTACTTTTGAACGAAAGTAAAATCTGATGAATGGAACAAAAGTTTGTTTATTACGATGTAAATATAATACTGTCATGTGAGGTTATTAAATTTAACAAATAACCCTATATACTGAGACCTAAATGCAGCTGACGCGGTCGACGGTTCTCCCACATACAAAAAGAACGATTAGCACCATGTGCCAGTGAATAACACAAAGCAAGAACTCATTTATGTCTTGGATAGAATCGCAACAACTAGAATAAGTCTTGACAAACTGGATCCATATTTCGTCGCCTCACTTTTTCAATCTCATATCTTAAAGAACAAAGTTACTGAAATGCATAAAAATGGATCGTATATACAAATTTTGCAGGCTGGTTTCACATTATATTTCCGTCATATTCACACACTGGCTATTACCTATTCTTAAAGTAACGCATCCACATTAACACCTTTTATAGGAAATTTATAATAATCACTCTTTACAGGACACGAGTTTGGGGAAGTAAGGCGTCGATATATCAAATTTCTGGAGCGTATCGTACGATACCTACATGAAAATGTTACATGCGTCAAAACGGCTTCAATATCATGCATATTTGGCACGATCTTTTTTCGTACACCAAATTACTAACAGAAAATGTAAGCTAACAATAACTGAATATTTTTTAAGGCTTAATACGTAAGTACAATAATTATTGTATAATTATGCAAACTATTTCAGGCAAATATAATGTAGGTACTGTACTTATGTTTGATGATGCTTACAGAGATGTAATACATATTGAGGAGCATACAGCCCAAAAAGGTGTGTCACCAGTGTAAGCAACAGGTCTGTATTTTATATATCATTTAATTTCAAATTCATCTTGCTAAAACGAATTTGAAAAAAATAGCAATTTACAGGACAGTTAATTGTCGATTTAAGTAGAATCGTCAATAATAAAATGGCAACACAAGCGGTAGATGGGGGACATTCAACTGTTCGAAAAGAGAAGCGGTCAAAAAACGCCTTGTTTAAAATAGATACGTGATATAAGAGTGTATCTATCTGATTATAGTGAATTACCAATCTACCGTTAATACTAAACATTTGTTTGTATCAAGTAAAACAAAGCCCAATGGTGCACCATTGTATTGTACTAAACGCTTTACAAATAAACTCTTTCCTTCTTACATCTTTGTACACATTTACAACTTTATCTGCAACTTTTTTGTACAAACCTGAGTAGTGCTGGAGCCTTTACCCTGACCAGCGTGTGTGGCTTCCTTCCGCACGTGTGGCGATTGGACCGAAGGTTTTAAATACGAGTACAAATATAATATGAAGGGAGTGATTCCGTAAGATTTATACTGCAAAAAAACGTGCAGTGCAATGCAGTCTGAACGGGGCCTTTACAGGGTCACGGATGACATAACGAAACGTTAGTATGTTTGAAAAAACAAATATACGCGATTTAAATCCGGTAAAATAGTTTCATTTCCTATATGTCATATATAGGAAGTGAAACTATGACAACAATCGCGAAAACCTAAGAACTCGATATGTCATAAATAATCACTCTTTTTATGATACGTGGTTGAGACAGTAAGTAATAAAAGAAAAGTTTACACAACAGGCCAGCCACATTTGTTCTAAAAGTGATAGAGAAGAATTTTATAAAGGTTTCTACACATAATGTATCTATTCACAAATAAAGGCACCTTATGGTGGGTTTATAATAGTTGTCCAATGGTTTCACTACAATTAGCAGATTTGGGGCCCTGGTGTGGCAAAGGACGCGGTTTGAGTACAGTCGCGTCCAAGGACTTTTTGTGTGTGTCTGTTCTTTCTTTGTATCAATAATAATAACAAACTTGTGAAATATTTTGACAACAAATATATGAATAAAAATGGTAGTAAAAACATGATATTGAATAAAATAAGTAAAACTTATTTTTCATCACACTGGCTCATAAACAGTGCCATAACATGCAGGCAAAGACTGCTGTAATGTGCTGAACTACGCCCACGGGCTTTTTTCATTACATTACCGCCTTATTTTTTATTTAATACACTGTACTTGTCTTATACGTTAAGTTTAAGCAAAAAGTTTAATGCTCGAAAAATCCGAATTACTTTATACAAGCTTGAAAATTAGAAAAAAAAACTAAACATTTGATAATTTAATTTTATAAATTCAATTTCTGCAGACTTCTTAGTATTTTGAAATGATTTATTTTATACATATTAATTACCTATCTATCTATATATATATATTATCTTTACCATCATGGCTGTATGCGTTTTTGCCTTTTACATTTTAGTTCGAGTTGCATTATCTATGGAAGAAAAGCTGGTCATTTGTTTATATAAGAAAATCCTGCCATTTGCAAAAGCTTTGTTGTGAAGCCGTATTTATTAATAAAAGAAATAAATTATTATAATAGTTATTTCCTCGCAAATGTGATGAAAAATGTTGCATATAGCACGGGCGGTAAAAAAATCCAAACCTCGAGTCATTGAAGCCATTCATACACAATGTACTATTTTTACACGCCAACTTTTATATAACTCGCATTTTCATAATTAATTATGAACCATAAGATACCTTTAACTGCAGATGGACATATTATCATTCCTCACTACAAGCATAAGAACAATTTTCAGGGACACATATTTTCGATTTAGTACTTCACATTTTAAACCGTACCTCGTATTAAGGTCTTCCTAACAATGAGTTCTACTCATATAAAATAAAAAAGGTAAACATATAACGACTAGTGAAGAACGTACCCTTTTCAAATCTGAGTGAAACGATATTTCCTAGTCAATTAGAACAAAATTATCAGATACTGATAATACTGCTGTTAGTAATACCGGGGTATATTTAACCTTCTACCTAGGTAACTCACAAATTGAAATTTTTGTTCTATAGCCCTATATACAATACAATATTTCGTAAAGGATATTAAACATTATACTAAACGCATCCAGTATATAACCAGAAATAGAGACGAAATGTCATTTAATTTGTTTGAAAACTATTCTGCCAAATCATTACGGTCACAACTGCGCTCCGATTGGCCAGCCCGAGTTCGAAACAATTGACAGGTCGACACCAGTGTTTCACTTCAATAATAATAATGGACGAAAATTGAAAAATGACATTTAATTACCGATTAAATGTGATTCCGTTTGTTTTGTAATTAAATGTTTTGCAGTTTTTCCCGCACCGCTGAATGGAAGAGCCCCCTATTGTTAGAGATATTGTCTTTATTACAATAAATACAAAATATTTTTGGAATATACGGAGACGTACACACATGTCAGTTGTTGGCGCTGTACTATTTCAGCTTTCTAATTTGTGATTTCAGCGCGAACGAGAGTTGATATTTAAAAGTGATGTAAGACCCATTTACCTGATGAGTTGCCAGGGATGGATGGCCTGATTTCGTCTCGATTTCTAGTTATATACTCGATGACTACAGTGAGCTTGATATATTTTCCTAGCGTGTTGAAAAAAATTGACTTCTGTCTTTGCTGGGAATGTACCCAAGCAATTTTGAATTGTACTGTACATGTAACAAGCTTTGAAATTGGCTTCAATTATCAGCAAACAATTTTTACTACTAGTGAGAATAATTTATTAAAGAGGCTTGTGAACGGGGTCACTAGCCCAATAATTTAGTCGGTAAAACCTTGTATAATAAGGAGTGATCGAACTTGAGGGAGTTAATTTAGCTTTACTAAAAAATAACGTGGACAGTCCCTTCTACAAATCTCAGGACTTCTCGGACCTGACTAAATTTGCATATGCATATTATTTTTTTAAATTTTAGTACATTGGCGACAAATTATTATTTCCTATTAAGTATTTGCTATAAATTGGACGTAGTTAAGGAAAAAGGATCCAACCCACAAAATTATTAAATAATGATTTATATGTACCAAACGGTTCCTAAAGTTTAACCTCTTAGATAGCAAAAAAAATACAACATATAAACGTAAACAAATATCTCTGGAGTTATATGAAATTCTAAGTTTTGAAAATAAAACGAGTAAGCAACACTTTGAAACTTCAAACTGTCATATCTCGAAAGTGACTGGATGTGCATTGGATCCTTTGTTTAACTACGTCCGATTATTGTCTCAAAAAAATCATATTGCAGTTGTGTTTCTATAGGTACTTCCGTATTTAAATACTTTTGCCATTTAAAAAATACACATTATACAACCTATATTTTAGAATGTTTAGACAATAAACAGCAAAAAAAATGAAATTTTATATGCACTAATGACAAAATGAGTATGTCCATACTAAGACGTTCATACTTTAGTAGATTAACTGCCTCAATTCCGATTGCTGATAATAAGACAAGTATGGCAATGCAACATTGCAATGGTATTTGTATGGTTGCGCTAATCTCGCGATGCATTCACATTGCATAGTGCTTGGGTCCCAACGCGCCTTTCATTATTATCCGAATGTGTGCATGCGTACACGGCGCGCGGCAAGCGCGCACACATACAAGCCGCGCTGTTACGTTTGTATGGAGTTCCCAATTTGTCTAATTATACTAAGGTAAAACTAAGATCATTGGCACTACCACATAAATGGACCACACCACACAATGGAACCAAGCAGTGGAACCAAAAAGCCCCAAAGTAACGTCATTTGTTCAAAATTTCAATGGATTGGACGCGGTGATATTGGTACACTTTGAAGATGTCTGTTCTTTTTACTTAATTCAGTCATAGTCCCAATCAAAAACTTGGAAATAGTTAAAAATTGCCGGAAGTCTAAATCCATTTTTCTCAACAGTAGTAAAAATTGTTAATAACACTTGTAACACAGTGGAATAATATAAAATTCACTCAATACTTAGACGTTTTATAAACTCCATTTCTATCACCTTGATTCACTTTTACAATATAATAAACATCACTATTAGAAATAATCCACGTCACTTTTGTCGATCCACACAATGTTTTTCCACTGTTTGTCATCATCTCATTCAAGTCCGAACAGCCAGTTGATACCCTGTGCTAGGAATAGAATTAGTGGCTGCCAGGCCACTAGCCAACGGATCCAGTCGAGGAGTTGACCATACAGGATGTGCGGACGGTCCCAGCTAGATGTTATGTTAAGGATATCATGAATTAATGTAGTTGGATGAACATAGAATTTTGCACAAGCTGTTGGTTCTCATGCCCAGCCTTTCAAATGTAACTGCACGAAGTTCTCTGTCTGCAAGTAAATTAATGTTATTGGACCCAAAAATAAACATAGTTACGCAAACACACCCACGTACGCACGAACGTATGCACGCACATAACTGCACATGTCATGCATGCTCAGATGCACGCACGCAGCAGTCATGTGTGATGTTTAAATAATGAGTAAAAGTTAAAAAAGAAACATATTTATCAGTGTCCCAATGCCAAAATGCGTGCGTGTGTGCGTGTGTGCGTGCGTACGTGCGGGCGCGCGTGTGTGTTGTGTTGTGTGTGTTAGGCGTGGGCGAGGGCGTGTACTTTTGCGAACGCGTGTGCGTGTGTGTTTATGCGTGTCATATGTGTGTGTGTGATTTTAAATACGTCTCATGCACGGTGCTGAAGCGACGCCTGCGTACACTGAAATGTTCTAGTTACTGTAGCTGCATCGTACATCCGTAGCGCTTGGCGCTGGCCTACAATGAATGGCACTCACGCGCACGCTTGCTATTAACGTGCATCGATCCTGTCTCGCCAGTGAAACTATGTATTCTCGTTATAACGTATATAAGCGTACATAGTTAGTGTAGTTCATTTCACAAAGCATCATGTCAGACATACAACAGCAGGTTCATGGATGTGGATATTTTTTGTAATTCGTTACCAAAAAAAACTAAAATTACTTTACTATAAATTGTTGAATATTAATAGTTTTTAAGATTTCAACTGCATTACAAATTAAGGAAACTCTAGGTCTACTTTATATATATTCGTTAATATAATAATAGTTTTATATCGACTGTTTGTTTCTTGAATAAATAAATAAATAAATTGCATGATCCCGGTGACGTTTGAGATTTCAAGTTTCTAGAGATGTGGTGATATAAAATCGAATTTTAATATCTTATCGAAATAATTTGTAACGAAGAAAGAATCGATTAACAGAAAATAATTTAGGAACAAATAATTAACAAAATAAAAACGATTCAATTATTATTGTAGTAAGTTACCAGAAAATCCATACAATAAATGAAAAAGTTGGCAACAACGAAACGCAATTTAAACAATTACTCCATAAACAAAAGAAAACGACCCGCACACAAGGTGTATGCACTCTTAGGGTGTATTTCCACCAGTGAGGCGAAACGAGACGAGACGAGGCAAGACGATTTTTAAAACTTGTATGGCAAAATATCAATTCTCTCTTAGCGCATCTTCCTTGGAAATGGTCGGGATTGACGAGGATGCGAGACGAGATTTGAAATATTTGTTGATGTAACATTGAACCGTATTGCTGCCTACATAGACTCTTTATTAACTCTGCAACGGAAACACGATTCTGTGTGCTCGCGCATGCTCGCGATGACTATTAATTTCAATTGCGAGATTGTGTGATACAGTCGCGTGCATTGAAATGTAAACGTTCACACATTTTCGAAATTATGTAAATATTAGATATTTTAAAAAATGTACCTTGTGCTGTTTTCAAAAATATGTAATCACGACGCCATTTTAAAAAAGGTATACTTTTAATTCAGAGAAAAATAAACAAACTACAGTCAATGAAAAATATATAGTCCTGGTGTCATACGTGTATCCATATTATTTTCGTAAATATTTATACAATGCATGTTATATATTTATAATTGCATTAAAATGTACACGATTACAATTGTGATTTTATCATAATCATGTAACCACTTTTAAAACATCGCATCATGCATCGTTTTCAAAAATATATATACACAATATAGTTGCAATATAATGTAAACATACCAGCGCCATTTGTAATCTTTTTATGTGTATTTTGCTAGTTCGTAATATTTAATTTTGCCCTGGGATAAAAGATTATAAAAAAAAGTTATTTTCGAAAATGTTCTTTTTATTTTTATTTATTTATTTATTTTATTTTAGAGGGTACAAACAGCTTATATTACAACATGATTATTTCTTCTTACAGTATCTTCATCTGATTCTTCTTCCGTTAACATATTTAATAATAAGAATTTGCGGGACATGGTACTTTAGCCGCGTGTTTATCGCTAGACGAATTAAACAGCACTGTCTTCACTATCCAAAGACCGGGCGTGCTCGCGCGTGCTCGAGATGGCAATTTTTGGTGGAAATAGGTCAGCGAGATTTCAATTCTCGCATCGCCTCGTCTCTCCTCGCCGATGGAAAAGCACTTTTATAGACACGAGATAAACAATAGTCAATTCAATCAAATCAAAATCAAATTTTTATGAAAAAATATATCGTTTTACGCATGAAGCAATTTACTTTTATCTTTACAATATAATTTTCTTTGTACTTAATATACTATAATTTTTATTCAAAATTACAACTGCAACAAGTATTGTTTGTTTTGATATATTATCACAAATTTAATATTTCTTTTTGTAACCTGATTCAGAGATTACTTAGAAACAGTAGGTATGCGTGCAACGTAAAAATTGGAAATTTCACAGGACTCGTCCTATGTGAAATGAACTACAGTTTAGAGCGCTATAAAATACACTTTTAAGCTCCATGATCCAGACACGGGTTTTATTCAACTACCTACTAAATACCAACTAAGACGCCTCCTAATTACAAACGGTTGAGTTTTAAAAAAGGATACGGATTGGTGAACATCCTCTTTAGGTCGACCTTCTCCTTGCAGTATGGGCAGGTCTGTTTCTTGCCCACGATGCACCATCCGCGGATGCAGAATTCGTGGAATACGTGCCCGCATGTCAGCTTGTACGTGTTCTCTGGAAATCATAACAGAGGATCCATTTTTTCTTCCATACAACTTGGGCCGAAAGATGTACCTCAAGTACTATCGTACATTTTTAACTGACTTCAAAAAAAGGAGGAGGTTCTCAATTAACTGTATTTTTTTGTATGTATGTTACGAGATAACTTTACGCAATTTTTGCATTTGCAATTGGTGAACTGACTTTCAGGATTCTTTTTTTGTTCAAAAAAGGGTACCTCAGTACTGGTCCCATTTACGTTTCAAGAAAATATTCTACCTATAATAAATCCGGTTTCGCGCACTTTCCGGTATCCGATTTCAATAAAACTTGGCAAACTTTTGAGGTCGTCTTTTTTTATAAAAAAAGTTATTGTGTAAAGAAACGTAACCTTATGTTGTAGAACATAAAAAAATTGAGGCCATCCTTAGAGCGATGCCACACGATGCGTTATTATAACTTGTTGTTATAATGCATATAAATTAGAACTACATGCCACATGGTGCGTTGAGACATGCGTGCGCATTGAACAGGTCAGGAGACGAAGCGGGGAGGGGTGCGGCGGTGCGTAAGTAAGCGGCGTTACGTTGCGATACCGCATTGCTCGTGTGGCACTCGTTGTGTTTAAATCATAGTGTTGCGAGGACGCAACGCACTGTCAGCAACCGATTAGCATCGTTCTTGGATGCGTTGCACACAAGCAACAAAGCCTATGCCAGAAGCTATGCCGTTAATCGAATGAGATCGTTTTGCGTATATCTCTGCGCACTACTTCAAATGAATTCATTGTCCAATTGGTAATATGTAAATAGCTTTGCTAACTTGACTATAATGCCGCAGATAAAACCCTCCGGCCTCTTTTCTTCTCATTACCGACTATGGTTGTAAATTAAGTTTATTAATTAAATTTACGTGCAAGTGTGATGAAAAACATTGTATATTTCACGGGCAGTACCGGAATTACTAACTTCGACTCCGAAAGTTTAATAATCTCGTCCGTAATTCCTCATTTACCGCCTTCAATACACACTGCACTATTCAATTTTTATTGAATTGATATTTAATTATTTTATGTGAAATTACTACACTAATTTGTTATAATTATTAATACAAAGATCGAACAATCAGAAAAAATTATAACAAACTAGTGGAGTAATTACACATAAAATAATTGAATCTCAATTCAATAAAAATTTAAATACAATTAATAGCGACATCTCTAGCCGGGTCTAGTGACGAAATAACATAGATTTCTTCTTTCTTCGCTACGGCTAAAAAGTCGTTGAAAAACCAAATACAAAAACACGACAACAGGCACATAGAAAAATTCGTAAGATCCGCTGGTTCGTTCCGCAGCTTAGTTGGTATAGCGTCTGGCACGGTATGCTAGAAAACGTCGGTTCGAATCCGGCCGGATAGAAGGATTTATTTCTGAGTGTTCGATCTTTGTGTTAATAATTATAACAATGTACTATTCGTTAATTTCAGTACCTATAACGCCTTCCTCGTTGACAGCGACGAGCAGCTGGTTGCCGCAAACCGCACACACGTTACTCTCAAGCTGTCGTGTTGGGATGCCCTCTTGCGTGTAGTACTGTGAATAGAATTAAATATCATTTTCATCATACTTGTTCGTAAACAGTGTCATGGCATGCAGGCAAAATCGACCGAAATGTCCTATATTATGCTCATGGACTTTTTCTCTACATTATCGCCCTATGGATTTTTTACGTCAAGATTAAGCAAAAAGCTTCTATGTTCAAAAAATCTGAAAGTATATTTCGCATAAACTTGAAGTATAAAAGCAACTAAACATTTTCAATTTAACTAAATTCTACAAATTTATCTTGTGAATAGGAAATGAAACTATTTTTCCGGATTTAAATCGCGTATATTTGTTTTTTTCAAACAAACCGACGTTTCGGGCCCTTTACAGGTCCCATGGTCACGGTTGACGGTTGATTTCCTATGTGTAACAATCGCGAAAACCTAAGAACTCGTTATCTTGTGAATTCAAATTCTGCAGTATTTTTAATATTTCGATGCCTTACTTTCTTAAACTCTTGTCTTAGAGTCGTATTCTAGAACTCTACTCAATGCTCAAGTCAGGATCTGAGTATGATTTCAAGCACTGGAAATACGACCCTAATGGCAGGGACTTGAGTATGATTTCGAGGGCTTTAATCCATACCCAAATACTGACTTGAGCATTGAGTAGAGTACTAGAATACGACCCTCTAAGAGTGATTATTCAGGAGATGCCAAAATTTTCTATTTATTTTAAATTCGTTATCAACGGGGTTAATTTGGGTGCATTACTTTAAGAATAAGTAAAAGCCTGTGTGTGAATATAAAGGAAATGTGATATGAAATCAGCCTGCAATATTTGTATATACAATCCATTTCTTCCATTTCAGTAACTTTGTGCTTTAAGATACGAGCTTGAAAAAGTAAAGCGGCGATTTGGAAATTATTATTTATTTATTTTTGTTTTATTTTATTGCTTTGTGTAGGACATTTAGCCAATTAATTATTTTATATCTAATACATTGTGGCTGCATATGCGTCTGTGCCTTTGTTAACATTTTAGTTCGAGTTGTATTATCTATGGAAGAATAGCGGGCAATCTGTTTAAAAATAAAACAAAAAACTCGCCATTTGCAATTTACGTAAATGTTGTATTGTGAAGGGATGCTTAGTCATACAAGAAATAAATTATCGTTGTATCTATTTGCTCGCACAATTGATGAAAACCATTATATGTACCACGGGCGCTAAAAATTACAAGCCATTGTCTTGAAGTTAATGCAATGATGTGAGATATTGTTTACTGAAAGTAAATTAACATTTATAACTCTATGCTTCATTGCAGACTATAAGTTATATAGGCGCCGCTCTAAGCGACATCATGCGCGATTTTCGCAGATCGATTTATAGCTGCGGCGCGAGAGGCTAGGCGCGGAGGGGACAAATGTACGAACGAACGAAGGAGATCTCACGACCCAGAGCGGCGGTCGCAAAAACAAGATATTTCATATTATTCGGAGCGGATTTTTTTTGAATTGGTGACAACCCTTCTGTACTCTAACTGCCTCTGTAGCCGAACGGTTACAATGCCGCTGCCGGACTGCCACGCAGAGGTCTTAGGTTCGATTCCCGGGCCGGGAGAAATAGGGTGTAATTTGTGTTTGTCTATGTATGTGTCCATGGCACCCGCGACACAGGGTTTCCTGGGCTATGTTGAGTGTGCGCGTTATTATTATTATTTGATATGATGTTTCATATCTACGTGTTGAAACATATTATCAAAACTTTGTACAGTCAGTCGCTTGTAATAATATAAAACTTAACAGGATATTTCCTGCATTCATCGTACAAAAGTATTGACCATATTTATACCGCTCTTTACTTGTGTATTCTTTTTCTCGTATTCAAAATATGAACTTATACTTTCGAGGCAAAGAAGCGCCACTTTTAATAACGCCATGTCTAAACACATACACCGCTGTCGCTACTGAGTGTACGTGGCAAGGACAACTCGCCGCCTGCCGCCGCCGCCACACTCTTCGCGTCGCAACTAGCTAAGCCAGAACGAGTTCTGGCTAAGCCCTAAATGAGGAGCCAGAAACGCTTGTCCAACTTGGTATGTAACAGTTAATGTAACTTGCTGGTATGATAAGAAGCAACTTACACCAATAGAAGCAGCCATCTTATCAGAACAGTACTCGGCCACGTCTCGTCCCAAAACACCAAAATAGAGTCCGTAGAACAGGAACATGAGCGCCACGTCCATCCATTGCTGTGGCTTGTGCCCAAATATAATGTTGACGCCAAGGAACGTCAGCATCATCACAAAGTACCCGAACACGCCGAGAAAGCAACTCACTTTATATATGAGGTAGAACCATTTGTACACTAACCTGGAAATATTCAGAATAATAATATGGATTATGTTCGCTGGTTCTATGTATGTTGAATGTCCTTGGAGATAGACTTAAGAGATTTTTGAACGAACAGATATTTTCCTGCATCTGTCACAGACTACTTAATAGTTACTATGTAACAGATACATCACTTTCAAAAAAAATCGAAACTACTAAATACTACACTATAATAGCATACTAAATCTGAATAACGACACAAGGCGCTCACTACGAGGAAAAAGGAACCTAAGCACGCGGTAAAGGAGGTGAAAATAACGTTGCCCGCCGTGTGCAGTCTTGCGGAACCGAATGCTCATAAACGAAAGAATTGTATGAACGCTTGCGCCGAGGTAGGCACTTATCGCGTGACGGAGTCCTGCCAAATGGTTACCATGCTGCACTACCACGTAGAGGTCCCGGGTTCGATAGAAATATTTGTACGGTCTACATTTATTGCAGCAGTAGAGCTCCTTGTTAAAGAGTTCGTCCAGGGAAGTACCTTTTGTATTTCAACTGAACCTTACTGTGTTTTGGATTGGAAGGGTAAGGGTGCTGGTACAAATGGAACTTGTCAACTTATGTCTCAGGGCGTGGGCACATTGGTAGTGTCCCTAAGATTTTTGCAATTTAAATACCTGAGTGGCACTGCAACTGTTCGCTTACCACCAGACGCACGACTTATTCGTCCCGTTACGTGGTATTTTATATTAAAAAAAATGTATTGTGAGTTTGAGTGTAATTTATGGTTGTCTGTGAGTCGATGGCACCCGCGACATAGGGTTTCCCTAGCGCGGGGCTATGAGTGCGTGCGTTATTAATATTATTTCAATCAGGTTGTACATTTGTAAACTTTGCTCTTCAAATGAAGAATCTACTTTATAAAGTATATGTTACTTCTATGTAGTTACCATTCACGTGCAATAAGGATAACGCATCATATTAAATGTTAAGAAAACATATACTATAATAATCATAAAGAATAGTTAATGGTAATCATGACCTTATTAATGTTTTTTGAAATCGTAACAGAATTTGACTAAGCTCTCTGATAATTTATTAATACACTAAAACATTATCACGCTGTTCCATATTAGTATGTAACAGAGTGCGCTTTAGTAGCATAGAATCTGCTCAATCAAAATTAATACAGCAATAAATAATAATAATAATAACGCACTAGGGAAAGCCTCTATCGCGGGTGCCATGGACACACAAGGTACAGGCATCGAGTATATAACCAGATATAGAGACGAAATGTCTTTTAATTGGTTTGAAAACTATTCTGCCACATCATTACTGTGACAATTGCAATCCGATTGGCCAGCCCGAGATCGAAACAATTGATGGGTGTTGTCAATTGTTTCAGTTCAAATCGACCAGTTTAACTTGAGCTTTGCTATAATGGACAAAATTTTAAAAATTACTTATAATTTAATTACCGATGAAATGTGATTCCGTTTATTTTGTAATTAGATGGTTTGCTGTTCTTCCCAGACCACCGAATGGAACAGCCCCCATTATTAAAGACATTATCTTTATTACAACAAATACAGAATATTTTTGAATATATGGAGACGTACAAACATGTCATGTAGTTGGCGCTGTACTGTAATTCAATTTTCTAATTCGTGATTTCAGCGCAAACGAGAGTTGATATTTAAAAGTGATATAAGGCTCATTTACCTGATGAGTTGCCAGGGGTGGATGGTCCTTATTGTGTCTCTATTCCTGGTTATATAATCGATGGGTAAAGAATACAACCACAAATTACACCCAAACTCACGAGAGAAATAAATGTAGGCCATACAAATATTACTCCTGGCCCGGCAATCGAACACAGGACCTCTGCGTGGCAGTCTAGCATGGTAACCGATCGGCCACGGAGGCAGTTAAATAACATACCTAGGAGTAGTAACAGACATTGGTCGGATTGAGGACTTCCTTATGACAAGTGCGGTGAGCAATGTGAATGTTGACCAGATTGTGATAAACCGCCACCAGCTATTCTTCAGACTCATAAATACGGGAATAGACCACATCGCACACATTGTGAAGAACTGCAACATACACAATTTTGGTATAATAAATATGTTAACAAAACAAACAATAATGAACAGGAAGGATGTTTATAATTAAATTATGGTAAATTAGAACCAATTTATATGAAATTTAACAGCAAGATGACTGATTTTCTTTGAATTTAGATCAGAATACATGGTACAATCAAGAGCACATCAATCTTATCAATTTCGATACCTCCAATGATCACTATACTAACTTAATTTTTTGGTCATTTTTACATTCTTCTAAAAAAATTAAAATTAGAAAAAAAAAACAAAAAAACGAATTTAGTGAAAAAATAAAGAAACAAAAACAAAATAAAAAAGGGATGACCAAAAAATTAATTTGGAATAGTGTTCATTGGAGGTATCATTTTGGACTT